ATCCTTCGCGTCTTGTCAAAGTGAGCGATCTAGAAAAATACAAAACCTTGTATAGGCCGCACTTGTAGATAGTCCGCACCGGGTTAATTTTCAACCTTTAAACATGTATTGTCCACGAGCTATAGTCCGGAAACTACGGTACATGTCAGGGCCTGCACACGGGTCAAGATTTTTGTAGGCAGCCTCTGTAGGTGAAACTCTTAGGGCGTCGAGCTCCGGGACAGGTACCAGTTTGACAGAAACTTGGCAAGAATATACTGGCAGTAATTCGGTATAAATATGACTACCAAGTTTAGCGGTTAGTTTCATCGGAATCTTGCATGACGAAGCAGTAGGTTTAGACATATGCTTCGAGAAAGGGTTGCTGTATTCATAACTTATGTCTCTATGGGGAAGGTATGTAAAGATATATATGCTTAAGGAATATGTTATTCCTTATATTACATTTGTAAAGTTGAAACACTAACGAAATTCACACCAGCATTGGTATATGTGGCGTTAGAGGTTGGTTCACACATTTATCTCTGTGCATTTCTTGATAAAGATTGTGCGCAAATATATCTTAACGTTGATTAAAAAAAAGCCGTTTACAAATCCCTGTAACGCCGAATTGGAGCGCAGCTCTTGAGGAGGAGGAGTGAAGGGTACTGAGGGGAGGGTAGACCCCTCCCCCTTCTCCTCCTCTTCCCCTCATTCTTTAATATGCTCCGGGGAGGGGGTGTCACGTGACTTCGGGGAGGGGGTCACGTGACCTCGGGGAGGCGTGACCTGGGGGTGACCTCAAGGCCACGTGACCCCAAAGGTGACCCCCACGTGACCTTGGGGGTCACGTGACCTGGAGGGGTCACGTGACCTCAGAGGGGTCACGTGACCTCAGAGGGGTCACGTGGGGTCACGTGACCTTGAGATGACCTTGGAAGGGGTCACGTGACCTTGGGGAGGCGACCACGTGACCTCGGGGGTCACGTGACCTCAGAGGGGTCACGTGACTTGGGGGTCACGTGACCTTCAAAGGGTCACGTGGGGTCATCTTGGGGTCACGTGACCTTGAGGTGACCTTGGGAGGGGTCACGTGACCTCGAGGGGTCACGTGACCTTCAGGGGGTCACGTGACCTTGAGATGACCTTGGGAGGGGTCACGTGACCTTGGGGGTCACGTGACCTTGGGATGACCTTGGTTACGCCGACGCCGACGGCGACGCCAACGGCGACGCCGACGGCGACGCCGCTCAAGCCGGGAACGGGCCCCTAAGAGCTGCGCTCTAAAAGCGAAGGATATGTGTTCACTCCTTGATCGACAACGATATTGCCCAAAATGTTTGGTAAGACATCATTGATACTTTGTCCACAGAAAAGAGTGAAACGCCTTGCATAACAGTTAGCTGTATGTTTTGTGGATTTTTTTAACGCCGAAAATGCATATTACGTATGTTCCCTGAACGCGTATAAGCAAGCCATATCCCGTACAGCACCTGACCACGCCCCCTTGTCACGTGAGATGACGTCACTTCCGCCAGGGAAATTTGTCATGTCACGTGACCTGATGTCACTTCCGCTCCAAAACAAAATCCGTTGTTTTATTGGTTTGCGAATTGTCACGTGACATGACGTCACTCGCGCCGCTGTGGCAAGGTAAACATGGCGCCCGCCGCCGCCTGAAACACGAAGCCTACGCCGTCGATTATCGATGCAGTCGCGGCTGTAGCCAGAAACGCTTGAAACGCTTGAAACGCGTTGAGAACGCTTAGCGTTCTCAACGCGTCGCTTGATAAGAGCGAAGCAAGGATACTGCCAACGCCTACCGCTGGTTTCCGAAGTCTAGCCTTCTCTCGATGTCGCCGCTGGTGTAGACTTTATTCTTGCTGAGCAGGTTCGTCGGCGACGCGGCGGATGTGAACCATGTCATGCATGAACGCTTGCCTTTTTCGATACGGAAATATGCTCTGTCGTCACGAACGCTTAGGCTTACGGCGTAGGCTTTGTGTTTCAGGCGGCGGCGGGCGCCATGTTTACCTTACCACAGCGGCACGAGCGACGTCATGTCACGTGACAATTCGCAAACCAACAAAAACAACGGGTTTCGTTTTGGAGCGGAAGTGACGTCAGGTCACGTGACATGACAAATTGCCTTGGCGGAAGTGTCGTCATGTCAGGTGACAAGGGGGCGTGGCCAGGTGCTGTACGGAATATGGTTTGCTTATGCGCTCCCTGAACAGAATTAATTTTGTCAGAGTGTGACAGGAATGATAACCTAAAGCTGCATTCACACCGAAGCGATCGGGAATGCGGATGCTTAAAAGTGCCGTTCAACTTTACCCTTATAAGATGCCGAAAATGAGCGATTCAGCGTTGTTAGAAAAAATCAAACGCCGAAAAGTTTTCTTTTTTCTTAACCGTGCTTTTTTTTTTTTTGTTGCTGGGTCATTGCATGGTTGATGAGAGCACACAATTTTGCGAGAATCGATCGGCATGACCCATTTTCGTTGGCGGTCTTCTGCAACAGACATTAATTCTTTGGGCAGCGACAGCGCAACTAGAATACATCATTCCATTTGTACTCAGCTCGAGCCTACAACGCCGCGGCGGCCATTTCCGATTCAAACAAATTAATCGTGCACTCCCTTTAAACTGGTTCATTTTTGTCGGCACACGAGCTCGTTAGAGAAAAACAAAAAGAAAGCGTATAAGCAGATATGACCAATGCTTTTCTTCGGTCGCAGTCGTCTCGTGGTGCCATTAAAGACTCGTTAGGGAGAAACAACCACGTCGCATTTGGCCCGTTGAAAATTTCTGTGCGTGATGTCAAACGACACCAGAGGGCGTCCGTTCATGGTTTTGATATTTACTGCGTTACGTCCAGAGTTGTGCCTTGAGTCTTGCGCAAGTTTCTAGAGCAAAATAATTTGGGCCTTTATGGCTCGCCGTTGAAGTTAGCCATAATGATCCTTAGGTTTTGCCTCCTAGACTTTCTTTTTATTCGGTTATGATATTGAAAGACGTTACATTTAAAATAGATTGTCGAATCTCCTCTTTCTCAGAAGCACATAACTTTTCGATATAGTCTATACTGGCGGCGATGGACTCCGATACCGGTACACAACCGTCCGCATGCCGTCGTAGATGATTGCGGACGGCTGTTGACGACACCCCCGCAGCGCAGGAGCGGCTGCAGTTCCAAAATGTCTTGCCTCAATCACCTTACAGCCCAGACCTCGCGCCATCAGACTTTTGGCTGTTTTCCAAGATGAAGTAACATCTTAGGGTGCACGGCTTGCACCCTAGAACGAGGTTACCCATGCATCGCGCCGCTGGTGCCGTCAACAGCCGCCCTTAATCATCTTCGACGGCATGCGGAGAGTAGTGCACTGGTATCGGAAGTGCATCGGCGCCGATGGGGACTATAGTGGAAAGTGATGTTCTCTTGGGAAAAAGGAGATTCCAAACTTTCCTTCGAATCTTTCGATTACATCGCTGAATATTGAAATTACAGCCTAGGAGACAAAACTGATTGATTCCCCCTCGTATTCCTGAATCATCCCGGACCATCTTAAAGTGCGTACTTTTTTCAGACTTTCGGGATGCTAAAGCTCACTGAAAGCAATAGAAAGACGTTCCGCGGGCTAATAGGGACTTTTAGCAAACCGCTGCCTAGTTCCGTGTACCGCACTACCAGAGCCTTTGAAGCGTGCTTTTAAGCGCGCGGTATCACGGTATCACCCGGGCGCACGCTTCAAAGCATGCTTCAAAGGCAGTGATACGCGGAGCACGGTAACGGTTTGCTAAATGCCCTTATTACGTTTTTTTACGTAAATGCGAGTTATGCCGAAACTAGAAGCGCAAGATTGTTCCTTGGACGGTTGTTTCCCTGGTCGTGCACGCACGCGTAAATTGACAGTTCAATGCGTCACCTTTAATATATAGTAGCTCCTGCTTCGATCACACTAAAGGCCCATTCACATAGTACCGTTTTTTTTAGTTTTCTTACGTTACGTTATGAGTCGCCTAGGCAGTAATGCTTCAAATATCGCTTGCAAAGCTACCTCTTGAATTCTTTTCCACGCTTCATACGAAGCACAAATTTCCGGGCGATTCTAAATGTAAGCAGACGTCAGCTCCCGTAACATAACGGAACGTAAGAAAACGGTGCTGTGTGAACCAGCTTTCATAGCGTGTAGCACGAGCAGCATGTGCGTGATGGTAGCTTAGACAGGCTTACCATATGCCTTTTGTTTGCAATTATCTGTCGGCAACCTGCAACGCAGTTTGGTTTGTCGCTCTCTAGCGACTGATGCAAGAAACGTTGGGTATGCCTGGAAGTGGCGGCTGCATTGTTCAAACGTGAGCTATTACTTTGGTGGCGTCGCTTAGCCTAGTGTCTGAAGCAAGGAATGCTGGGTAAGCCAGGAATCCGTGGGCGTATAACACGACAGTACGGCGAAAGCTAAGGCCACGGCGGGCAAATGGGACCAACCGAGTGACGCACCTGACTACGTATCGCCGGAGTGCGCTTTCACTGCGAAGAAGGCTTTTCGTAGCGTCATACTCCCATAGGCGTACGTTGCAATCGTACGCGCAGCGCGTATAGGAGCCGTCGGCACGCACTGTAGGGCGTAGCGTTAACCCTTTGCCCAGTTACACCGAGGCCGAGTATAACCGTGGGCTCCCACTCTACTGGCGCCGCCTGGCTGTTTCCAGCTGGCTATAGTGAAAATGAGCTTAGACTCCGTTTTCATTTGAGTGGGAGCGTAACCGAAGCTACAAAAGCGACCTACGAGCTTTCAGCATCCCTACCAGGGTCGTGTTCCATGGAGGGCCGTCGTGGAAGCTGGCATCGCAGTTTAGTTTTGCATGCATCGCGTCCACACAAAGCTCTTCAGCAAATTGTCAATGTTCCTATCACTACCGCTATCGTATAGTTTACTCTGCTTTCGAGTCCTAAAGCATCCGGCGACTCTGGTTCCGCTGATTCACCGCGAGTGCTCGCGTGTTGTCTCTCGCAGGTCCTCCCGAGGTGCTGACGGAGAGCAGCAAGACGCGTGACGTGGTGACGGCCAACAAGGAGGAGGACGCCACCATCACGGTGGTCTTCTGCTCGGACCCCAAGCCCATCGAGGCCATCTGGGGGTGGGGCTCCTACAAGCTCAAGACGGGGAACTCCCTGGGACGCTTCGTCGCTGAGCCCCTCCTCGCGGTGAGCAGAACGTATATTTCCAGCATTGATGAAATTGACGCTTCTTTTCATTTGTTCGTTCCATCTTCTTGGCGCGGTAGAGGGTCATTGCATGAGGAAGTATAGATTTTTAGAATAGGAAGCCCCCACGGTTTGGGTCACCCGAGGATTTTCGTGTGTTGCACTGCGAACGTTCTCGTAAAGACCCCTATTCTAAAGGTTCATTTTGATCACGTGTTTTATATATGGCAGCGGCACACGCTAGCCGTAAATTTGTGTTTTTTAGACTTCGAAAACACTTACCACTACTCAGATCCATCAAAAGACATGGACATGTGCCTATCTAGTACGCCCTTAACAAAGGTCTTTGTGTCCTTTTAATGCCCACTGTGACAGCGCCTAAATTAGGCAAAATCCATGCCAGCCACGCACTTGCCATTCACCAGAAAACAAGCGCCAGCGCAGTTTTGCCGTGCACGGGAGCACTAATTGAACGCAAGGATCACGCCCTCATTCCATGGACGCTCTGACCGATTCAGTGCGTCGCATCGCTACAACGTCGATTAAAGTGAGCAGGCGTCATCTTGATGAGCGAGGGCGAGTGCACGGGCCTTCTACTTTTTGTGTTGGAATGGTTTCGTCTTGAAGCTGTGGGGTGTACGATTCGTTTAACAAACCAACACCTCTATTACAACTGCGCACACTCGGTCCATACGGAAGGTCGACCGTCTTGTCGCAACGACCGCTTTCAACTCTTTCCTGGCTCCCGATCGTCTCCGCCGCATACGACAATTGGTTACAAAATCCTGTTGCAGCTCTCGCTCTCGATCATCTTCGCCGAAGCCGCTGTCTAAAGTTAGAACACTGCTGTTACTTTGACGTGGTTGCCCATTGGTAATCTTATAATCTTTAAAAGAAATATTTCATATATAGCACGCTTGATTTGTTATAGAGCTACCAAATGTAATCACCCATTTTACGACAACAGCTTCAAGACCCTCATCTTGCTATTGGCGTCACTATTTATTTATTGTATTTACATTGCGTCCTGCTGCGCCCGTTAGGGCATTATAGCAGGGAGAGGGTTTACATAACCGGGTATAAAATTCACTTGGCGAATACGTCACAGGAATTGACGAGGATGGCAACGAATTCCAATATCTACCTATACGAACAAAAAATGATGATTGGCAGGATGACACAGTTTCCACTTTAAAAGGATGGTCTAATCTCTGGGACACATAGCACGAATACGTTAAGTATTTGTTCTTTTGAATGATGGTCTGGTCATGAAAAAAAGTGTAGACGACCTGAGGCTTTTTCGTCGGGTAGCTAACAATGACCAGTTTAGCTCGTCTTCCATTTTAGAAACACTTTGACGGGATTGGTAGTTATTTAAAACAAATGGAGCGCTCCGGTTTTGAATTATTTCTGTTTTATTTATTAGCTGGTTTGAAGTGGGGTCCCAGACAATGCATGCATAATCAAGCATTGATCGTATAAACGTAAAGCATGGTTCATCGCAGTGTTTGGAAAACAACAAACTTTGAACTCGCTGCCTGTCTTTCCAGAACAAAAATTCGCCGATTTGGATGCTAACCCAGTGCTGACAAAGGGGTTGCCTGAGTATGACCATCAAGGTCCCCGCAAAATATTCTGTCTCTCTTTCGCGAATCATTTTCTGCCATTCTTAAACATCCTTCTATATTAATTTTTCCAGTTGCTCCGATAAGTTTTGGAGTTAAAAATGGTGTAGGTTTAGGTCCAAACGAAGTACGAGATATAGCGCTATTTCAGCGCTTTTGCTAGGAGCTTCACATTCCGGACACAAAGGCAAGCCAGAGCAAAACATTGGTTTCCTTTTTTCACTAACTCTGTCTTTCAATCTCACGGCACGTTCAGCAAACCATCTACCCTTGACCAACTTTAAAGCGAGACAGCACCTAACAAGAAAACAAACTACTCTTTGGTTCTCCCGCGAACCCTCTGTAAACACATAAAGCGTGCTCTTTGCATTGTTCAAAACAGGAACACTCGCTGAGGTGAACGAACCAAAACACAACGTTGTAGTTCCCAAACGTAATGTTTTATGGATTATGGTAACTCGTGTAAATTGTTTACTCGCTCGTTCTCTACTATTGGCTCCGAACGGAAAAGCAAGAGAACGTAGTGCAGGGTTGATTCTCGAAGCGGGCCGAGTTCACCCCAAAAAGGACTGACGTTAGCGACAAGATTGACATGCCCCGTTTTAATTTTACCCTCGGCGCCTTTCCCCGCTTCCGCCTTCCGTCCGCTGATGAATTATTCATCCCGGCGTTCGTCAGCAGATTTAGCTGCTGTTGCTACTGTCAACTCGGAAATTTCCAGTTTCGGCTTCTGTTTCTGCTGTAGCTTTCGGGCGTTGTGCGGGGCTTAGGCTTGTCGGGCGTATTTAAGATTCAAAAATTATCCAAAACCTTCCCCTCGAAATGTCTCGGGTCGCTTCATTTTGTTTAGTTATTCACAGTTTATTTGTTGAGTTAAATTTTCTGGTTTGTGTACTTGGATGTCGGCTTTTTCGGAGGATGCATCACTGGCTGCCAAAAAATTGCTGTTTTTTCTCGGCGGCAATTTTGAACTTGTTGATTCTTAGGCACGTGATACGAGTATGTTTTATTTTGTTCGTCCGAAGGAAAAGTCAAGTCGGAAATTTCTCGAATACAGTTACTTTCTCTGAATTCGTAAAGGACTTTTCTTTTTTATTCTCCACGCTGAAAATTTTCCTATCAAATAAATTATACGTCGAACATTTTTCTTTTATTTTTTTTATTAAGATCTGTTGTTTACACGCTTGTTTGATTGAGCAGAAAGAAAGATTTCCGCTTGGTTAATTCAAATTCTCTGCGAATATTCTATCTGAAAACGCATTTAGGATAACACACTTCCTTCAAAGCCGATGAAAATGTGCATTTTATTCATAATTTGGAGACACCAGATTGTATCCAAAGAATTCGATAATATCGTTTTTTTTTTCTGCGGTATATTTTATTAGTACGTTATTTCTCGGATCAGAGAGAATTGGGCTTCTCTGGCCTTTCCGGTGAAGATATGGAAAAATAGTGTAATATAGGAAAAATAGTGTAAAATATTGGAAAATATTCGGACGCGTGCACGACAACCCGTCAGACGAGTCCTACGAGGAGTCGTAAGGATGGCCGAATTCGACCAGATGTCGGTCAATCGCGACGTCACATGAACGCGTGTGACGCCATGATTGGCTGGTTTCGGGTTGGATTCGGCCATCTTTCTCACATACAATCCAACAAACGTGTTTTTTGTGTGTGTGTTTGTGGTTGGCGTTTTTATTTTATGACTTCATTCTATTAAAACCTTGAGGTTGACGGGAAAGTAAAAAATTGCTTCATCCACAACCCCCACCCCCGGCTCACTCTCTCTCTCCCCCCCCCCCCCCCCCCCCCCCAGGGTTGTGCATGAACTGCCACTGTGCGTCCGTGGAAGTTCTAGTAAACCCCACGGGTTGTTCTGTTTGGAGCAAAATGTCCGTAATCGCTCTACTCGCAAGTGTTGTCGACAATCGAGGAATTTCCAGCGTTATTCCGAAATTCTTCGTCAAACAGTTATACGTATATAAGTCGTGGTTGCCACCTTTATAGCGTCTTCCTCAAGAAACACTTTCGTATCTGGAGCCAAGTTAAAACACACTTCACAGCGTGTGACACTGCTTTCAGAAGCAAAATATCGTCACTTTTTCATATTTATTGTTTTTATTTTTTTCTTCTGTGTTAAAGCATGGACAGACACCAAACCTTACCGCCTAAAAATGCCTGTCGAGAATGAGCACACTCCGACATTCCGCAGTTTTGATGACAGCTTTTTAGTTGTGGAATAAAAATGGAAAGCTCCGGAGATTTGTTTTTCATGCTAGTGTGTGTCGCATTCTCGAGATGAACATACTTCTAAAACAATATCTAGCGTTTACGCGATTTCTTCGGTATTTAATTCTTATGCACACGCAGCTATGCTGTTCTACCAAACAAATAAAAAATATTTGATCCGAAAAAAAAAAAACGGAGGAGATTACAATTTGTTACCGAAAATAGAACAGTACGTCTGTTCAGGCGCACAATGCGAGTACGGCATCGAGGAAACCAGTTTCCTCAGGCAACCTATCGTAATAGAAAGGCACGAGAGAATCGATAGCGGAATTGATTGTACGGCCGTTTCGCGATGTCGCGAAAGCTTGTCCTAGTGCTGTAAACACGCTAGGCTTCCCATTATTATTTTTCTCTTTTAATGAGAGGCATCCCGTTCGAGGTGATCTATACGCCGGATGGCCCCTGCATAGGAAATCAGTCGGAGGGCACATTCGCCCTCACCCGTGTGGGCTTCGTCGGAAAACTCTTAGGCTTCTTCACAATAGCGTACAGTTGTTTTACTTTCAAATATTCAGGGGTATCGAGTGGTCCCCGCAGAAATCTCCCGAGGTACCGCATGTTTTTGATTTTTTTTTTTTTTTGCAACTTGTGGCATGGCGTATTTTTTTCTCCTTTTGGATGGTTGTACTTCTTCGATTTAGGCAACACCGCTGCGCCGTATTCGCGGCCCCGCAAGCATTGCAGATGTGTTTATGTACGCGGACTCCCTGAACCAATCAATGATCGACTCTGTATCACGTGACGGCGCTCGTCCTTTGGTCTTTAAAGGGAAGCTGAAGCGGTTCTGTGTTTGAGGAACAATACCGAAATCGTCTTCATTTGGCCTCCAGGATCACAAATATCAAGATTTTTTTTGTTTCTTTTGTTTTCAATTTGGTGCACGCAAGCTGCAGAAATTAATTTTCCAAGTAGCGCTGAAAGCCATCCTTCCCAGAACATGACGTCGTATTATGACTTTTCGGATTCTGCGCTCTCGTGCACCTTCAGTGCCCTTTAAAGCTATGCACGCGCACTCTTAATATTTTAAGAAAAGGTCACGTAGGGAGAAAATATACTTGGCAAGCTTGCAATTGTATGCTCTTGGCGACGATCCTGGTATGACGTCACGACTGGTCGGAGATTTTTGGTGTTTTCTCGCGTTCAGTTACACATTCGCGGAAAACGAACGTGATATTCAGATTCACGGGATAAAAATACGCCAGAATTCACATATGAGTCGCTTTTTTTTTAAGGAAAGAGGTTTTCAGCTTCCTTTCAAGGAGCGTAGTCAACTGTCGCGACGCTGGCAGGTCATTGGCGTGATTTGCAAGGTTCACACCTCTGTCTGCTTGCAGCGGTGAATGACGGATGAGTCGTATGCCTATTGAGTTCCCAACAACAAACAAAAAACGCAAAAGCATCCTTTATACTCAAGGCTCACAACGTTATTAAATTCGCCACGACGTTTCGATTTCCGTAAAGTATCATCGCATTTCTGTATCAGACTTGGTTGCTTATAAATTGCAGTCAGTCGAAGTTCGCCTCTTTTTTTTATCTTCTTTCTACCTCTGCTGGCATTTGCGTAGACATTCATTTTTTAATCAGCATTACTCCATGCAGTGTAGCTGTCAGTTGGGAGACATGATAATAACACCTCAGACTGTGAGGAGGAAGCGTTAAAAAAATTTCAAGTCGAAGGAAATGACAAGAGTACAAAGGAGAACGTTTTCTACGGTTTTCTTGTTTTTCGACTTGAAAATTTCGTAATTGTTTTACACTACAGCCTCACCTGTTTTATGATTAATTATCATCAGGTCGCCTGCACATTCATTTTTGTTTTAGTTGGAATGGCCCATCTGGCATGCGCCTAAAGTGTTTTCATTATTAATTTTTTTCAAGAGAGCGTACGATTGTCAATGGCAAATGGAATAATACCTTGCTGTTGTTGTCATTTGTTTTACTTTCTTCAGTTTAGTATATCCCCGTAGTTTTAATGTCAATTGTCATACGCCATCGGTGCGCGCTATCATCTACACTGTAAAAGCCTGATGGAGAGGCAAGGGTTACAGCAGTGAAAGTGGGAGAAGGAGCAAACTCGGGAGATAAGTTCTGATGTTAGCGCCAAGCAGCGGCAGAGCAAAGGCTAAAATGAAATGCTCATTTGTCGCTTCTTATCAGGAGCCCAATTCTTTGTTGTTCACACTGTCGCGGCAATGCAGATTTTAAAAACAAGATTGCGGTGTGTCGCGGCGGAATTAACTAAAATACATCTTGTTCTTCCCGCAGAATATGCACTGTTATGCGTGTTTGTGGTCGCTACTTGACCATGCAGAGTGTCCAGAATTATGAAAATATATTGGAGGAAGACATATGTTCTACTTCAAAAAGTGCGCTTTCTGATGTAGTATGTTGGCTGTCGTTATTTGTGAAATACGATGTGCAGAGCCACGGGCCTTTTATTTGTGGTAGAAGTTGGTCATTCCAATAGTCGTGGTAAACCTGACAAAAATACACGTAGTCCCTTGTGTTTGATAACTGCCAGAGATTCCGTGTCACAAACGACACACGTCTGATATCTACAAGTGGTTCTTTTTTGTGTGTCTTTTTTGTTTCAATTTAGCTAGCCTTTATAGTCAGCCTTTTACTTAAGCGTATTCCCAGCTTGAGCCTTTTACTTAAGCGTATTTCCAGCACGAACTTGTGCATGTTACTCCGCCAATTCAAACAATTCACTTCGCATGTTTCCGCCAAATTTCGTTTGTGCTTATTTACACTCTTTTTGTCCCTTCCAACACGTCACAATTTTTTTAAGAGTATAAATATATATATATATATATATATATATTTTTTTTTTTTCACTTTCTCCGCAGGATGAAGAACTCGAGGACTGCTACGAGTCGCGATTGGTGATCCAGAGGGTGGAAAGCGACGACTTCAGGAAGTTTACTCTCTTCGTAGACAACGGCAAAGGAAAAGCTTCCTACTCTGTGGCCTTAGAAGTTAAAGGTGCGCTCTTTTCTGCCCGATTGCAGACGGTTTTCGGTTTTTGGATTACTTGCACTTTTTGTTCACGTTTTCGTCACTTGGAGATTATGGAGCAAAGAAATCTCAGAGACCGTCGCGGCAAGGGTGCAGCGGACCTGTTTTAGTTTTTCTGCATGCCTGACCGGCTTGGTTGAAGTTAAAAAAACGATACAAATTCGTCAGAGATATTACGCATCGGGAATACCCGAACCGGGCATTAGCCAGAATAGAATGATTGCACTCATTTTCTAAACAACAACAAGAGCGGAACTTACGCTGTTCAGAGTACGTAATGAACGCATAAGGATCTTTAAAACGCTGCTTACCCACGCAGGAATTTCGCACGACCTGCGTCAAACTCCTCCTCGTCGAAGGAAAAGCGTTCCTTTTCTTTGCACATGAAGTATCGTGCACACAAGCTCGAATCGCGTTTACTGTGAAAATATGACGAGTTCACACAACTGCGATCTGGGATTGATCGCCTAGCTTTTCGCTTGCAAAAATAATAGACGAAGGGGGCGCTTTGTTTAAGTGACAACGAGCCCTATAATAATTTTTAGAAATTTATGTCGCGCAGCTTTTTTATTTTTTTTTTTATTTGCGGAGCATCCCAATTGAGAATCATCTAGATACAAGGGATGGAGGTCCTCCAACGACAAAAACCTGAAGTACGTTTTTTCTAGAGGTGTTTATGATAGCAGCTTAATTCTGGGTATAAAAAAAAAAAAAAATGTAGCTCTCCGCGTGGTAGTGCAGAAAGAAAAGCATGTTCCCACATTGTTAGACGTTTAATAACATCTGCTGGGCGCTCTCCTTTGTCAAAATAATATTGGCTTATAAAGCATTGTTTAAAAGAGACGAGTTCAAAATCGGAAGTTGCATACTTTATCACCGGCACGTCACTATAGTTGGAAACGTAAAGTCGTTAATGCATGCGGAGAATGTTTTCTTTAGAACAGTTCATACTTAACAACATTAGGAATGCCAAAGTCCAGTTATGGGTCTGCAGACTGGGATAGACTCTAAGTAAACAAGCTACACTTTTAAATTGTGATTTTTGTTCTTACATTCTGAATACTGCCCCCGTACTCGTATTTTCGCATGGTGAGATAGCACGCCGTTGAACTTGACGCCCAGTAATTGTTATGTGATACTATTGAAATTGCTCGCTAGTAATAATTTTCGTTACTTAATTTGGGTCACAATCACACGAATAATGTATGACAGTACGGCAATTTTAAACGCTGTTTTTAGCTTCTGCGCATGGTTCACAGTTTTCGATTAAATTATGAATTACAATATATATTAAGCTTAATTATTATTTGTCTTTAATAGAACTTCGCATTCGTAATGCAACGAACAGGTGTAAAGTTTGTGTTTTTATATACTCGCTGTTTTTTTTTAAAGTATATTTAAGAGCGGCAAAAAAGTGAGATACGCTAATTAGTATATTGCAGAAACTCATCCTTCATCCTCGTATGTTAGCGATTTTGAGCTCTGCATTTATAAGGTTGACATCTTTGCCCCTTAACCCACCCCATGACGGAACGAACCGTATACAAACGAGAAAATAACTATTTTGGCGAAGAGCAGTTCACTGAGTCGTGCTTGCCGGGGATTGAATACAAAGAGAACCATACTCTCCAGAACTAGCAGAGTAAGAAAACAAACACCTGTAGCAGACGGCCGCTTCCACTTTTCGGTACTTTTACACTGTAGTCCCTCGGGTGTCGTGTTATCACTTCGTGGCATATGAGATGGCGTCATTATTCGTTAAAAACGATGAAGAACGCATCACCATAAGGATTCATTGTTTCATGGTCCTTTAAAGCTGCCACATGAAGAACTTCATGATTGATTAACATGATGGTTGGTGATGTAATTGCGTATGCTTAACCGAATGCTTGTCTGTTTGTTTTTTTTTGTTTTTTTTTTCAGAGCCGCTGTCTATGACGCTCGTGATCGGCATCACCGTCGGTGGCATCCTCTTCATCATCGTCTTCCTAACGATTTTCGTGTACCTTGTTCGGTCAGAGAAGATGTGCTTCAAGCGTAAGTTGGCATTTCACTTGCTACTTCGGGTGTGTAGGGGATATGGAACACGTGACATTTGAGTGATGACCGAACGAAGCATAAAGATAGTGAAAGCTTGTAAGAATAAATTGTAAAAGAAACTCCTCTAATCAAAGCGAGTAAACCTATAGTAAGGTACATAAGCCTGAAGTACCTAAGCTTGTGAGAGAAACGTTGACTGCCGCTTTCAGCAAGTTACTTGCTCAAAGCAAGCAACTTGCTGAACACAAGCTTGTTTCAGTGGGCGTTTCAACTTTCAGCAAGTTACTTCATGAGTAATTCATAAAGTATTTGGTGTTTTTATTGTTCAGCGGCCGTTCACATAATTGTTTTAATGTCGTGATATTTTCGGACTTTAATGCAGCAATTAATGACAAAATCCTCATTCTAAAAGATAGAAATTTTTCCACTTCTTAATTTCTTTTTTTTTAAGCCATGGCTCCATTTTGCATGTTAAGATTTCCGCAGACCCACGGGAGCAGTATTATAACTACTTTCTTGCAGATACTGATACTACAAAAAAGCGGTTCGACCGCTTGAACGCCTGCGTGGATATTGTGGGACCTATAATGTAAAAAGAAGAGTGTCGCGCATGTTTCAAGCGACATGATCTCCACTTGTGTGGTCACGAGTTCGAGACTCCATCCGGCCGGTTTTGTTATAAAGAGAAGCTTTAGAAGCGTACAGTCTCCGGCAATATGAAAGACCCACTGGGAGCGCGTGGCCGAGGCGGTGGCTGGCGGGGGCGCTGCGAGCGCTCCGGGCAATTCCATTCTGCTTCGAGGGGAGGACGCTCACTCGGGACTCAGCCCAATCTGATAAGCGCGTTTCGCTTTAGCTGAGCCTGAGTGAGCGTCCTTTCCTCGAAGCAGAATGAAATTGCCCGGAGCGCTCGGAGCGCCCCCGCCAGCCACCGCCTCGGCCACGCGCTCCCAGTGGGTCTTTCATATTGCCGGAGACTGTACATTCCTGTGCGCATTCAGCAAGGCGCGCGCCATGCACGTCAAGACCCCCAGTAGAGCTGCTTTGCTGCGCTAGTCAAATTGCCGCTGGACAGCGGGAATAACAATTGCCTTATTTCATGACAGGATGACTCGTCGTTGTCCGAACATTAAAACGATCAATTCATTGTTTACCATCGGGACATCAGAGTAGTGTCGATAGAGCTGTTTAGACAGCGGCAGCAAGTGCCTTTCACGTATTACGTAGCCTTGTCCGCGTAAGTCCGCATCGATGTCGTGTGCTCCTCTGGTAATCCCTTCAGCGACACTTGGATTTTTTTCGGACGTTGCTGAAACGTTCCACGCAGCCCGTAGGTTTGCCTGCTTCTGCACCCCGTCTATTCCGCACATATCTCTCACAGCCGACTGCTCTCAAGGCTCCCTAGCAAAAACCGCCCAGTTTTTGTTTTTCTTTAAGGTATACTACCCGTACTGTACGTGATCGGGATAAATGGGAATTTTTAAAACTCGGACTCTTCGGAGACGAAAATGACTCGCAGACCCATTTTAAGTCCATTTTGTTCGCGGAAATCTCGCGGACAAATCTCCGAAACGACGGCGCGGAGCAGTCGTTGCACGTTTCGCGCTCAAATCACTTTCGCAAGAAGCCGATTTCTTCTCTTCCCGCCGTCGCTGTGGGCCCGAGACCGCGCCGTGGATGGATCGGCTGAAGGAGCGGAAATGGTCTGAGGAGAGGCGGGAAGGAATGTTCTTCTATCCCAGCGATTCTGGGAGGGAAAAAAAAGGATGTTTCCTTAACGGATTACCATATATGCACCCACCCGCACCCCTCCCTCTCCCCTCCTAAGGAAGAAAAAAAGGGAGTATCTTCTATAGTCTTTGCACATTCGTTGCATCGATGCCGTTCTCTGTCGTTGATAGGATAAAGGTTTGTCGGCTTTCGTCTCCGAGGCTATCAACATTTCGAGCGCGACACCGTGCACACGGGCGCGGCGGCGTGAACTCGCAAAATCGCTTTTCTGATCATGCCGAAAAGACGCCTCGATCGCTTTAAGGTTGCGCCGCGGCTTTCACCGCAGGCATTTCGGATACGTTTTCGCCCTGAAAGAAAGACACACGGTCTTTGAAGACGCTATTCGCGGAAGTTTGCGAGTTGTTCTTCGCGGAGTTTAGTGTGTGCGTTGCTTTCTTGGTGTCGGACGTTTCTTCTTTTGTTGTTGCAAATAAGGCCATCATCGAGTCGAATAAACACAATTCGCATAGTGTCCCGCTAGAGGCTGGTTCTGTGCTCACTAGCTTCCACAACTTCTACCTCTTTATCTCGCTCTAAGCTCCCGTGTACTAGAAATCTAATTTCCTTCAGAGGGGATTGCGAGCAGTTCGCTTCGAGATGTTTGTGCTGCACCCAAGGACGAGCTTGAAACTCGAGGAATAGCTCGAAGAACGGAGCACACGCACGAGAGATCTGCCGAGGAAATGAGAGTTGATACTCACGCTCTTCACTCGTACTAGACGCGGTTTGCAACTCTTCGCCGCGGATTGTTTGATGACGAACTTTTAACTTCGAAACCCGCGCTTACGACACGGCGTAATCCTGTTATTTCGAGGCTTTTCGGCATGATCCGATTACGTCAGTTTCCTCTTGGGGCTTCTGTAACTTTTTTCGCGTACTTTGCTTTTGCAAGAACAATGAAGCTACTGGGTCTTTCAGGAAATAAAACAATCTGCTTGACTTGTCCTTTCCGCTCATCCCTGCGCAGGATCGCCGGTTTAATAAACGAGTGTTAGAATTGAATATTCAGTAATACCCCTTAAAAATATATCGTCCAACATAATATGAACATGATTGTAAACCTGAGACCGGGGCAGGAAGAAAACACAACAGAAGGTAGTAAAAGAGGAGGCAACGTCTCCTCTTTTAGGACGTTGCCTCCTCTTTTACTACCTTCTGTTGTGTTCTCTTCCTGCCCCAGTCTCAGGTTTACAATCATGTTCAACTTACACCAGCTCGCCTGCACTCTGACTATTTTTTCGTTAACATAATATAACCATATGAAAACGAATAATACACAAAGGATATTTTACGACAGCAGGGGAATTACAATGTAGTAAGCTACTTGTAAAGTATCTTTATGTGGATATTCCAGGCGTCCGCCAGTTATTACCTTCATGCTCTCAAAGATGAGACTATCAGGTCAGTATCTCGCAGCGTGCGACCAGGCATGTACGTACGGCGTAACTAGTAACGATTTCTACCTAGTTACTTTTTTATGTAACGAGTGACATTTATTTTTCTACAAAAGAACGAGTAACGTAGTTAATTACTTTTAATGCCAAGTAACGACTAACGGTATTTCGTTACTTTTGAGGAGTAACGTGTACAACACCATTTAAACAGCCTCGTTTGAATTCTACCCTGGGTATGCGTCTATAGCGACAAAGGCACATCGGCCACCCGTAGAACAACTAAATAGCCTGGCAGTATAGCAACGTTTATCGTTGAACCCACCAATCAAACTCTACAGCTGAGAACGTCCTTCACCCAGCGAACACAGTAAGGTTTGTTGGTTGAACCTTCTAGAATCGTGTACAGACCGAATGTAAACCCAGAGGTTGACAGCAAGGGAAGGCTCAGAGCCCATTGTCAACTTCGAACGAAGAAGCAGAGAGAACAAAAGGGAGAGGGGAATCCCAAATTCACCAGCTCTTTCTGAAGCACAACACTGCCGTCACTTCGGGTGCAACAGTAGAATGACTCTTGAGCGTCGCCGGAGACTCATAAAGCGGCGAAACATAACGGATGAGAGCTCCGAGAAGCAGGCTTCACTGTAACGACTACTGAAAAAAAAAATCACCCATGAAACAAAAGAAATGGAGTATTTGTTGGGCGTCAAAGTAACGAGGAAAGTGACACGTTACTTTGGAGATAACGTAACGCGTTCTTTTAAAAATTGGTAACGATTAATGTGTTTAGTTACTTCTTTAGCTAGTAACGAGTAACCGCATTTAGTTACTTCTTGTGAATTGCGTATATATGTCTCTGTGCCACTTTGCGCACGCATGTTCCCACACATGTTCCCCCACCTTCTAGGCGGATACCACTTTTTTTTTTTTTTTAAGCCTGAACTATGTACAGATACCTTTCTCTTAGTGACAATACCTTCTGAAGGGAAGGAAGCAATCTCTACGATAGTGACACAGAGCAATGTCCGTAGTTTGGACACAGGTTTTATTGGAGTCACTGACGCTATTTATATGCATTTTCAGGTTGTGAAGAAAAAGTATTTTGATCTCTCTGAATAGGAATTCAAAGTATTTCGGGAAATGGAGTTTTAATTGTTTTTGGCAATCTGAAAGTTGTAAGATGTCCTCGGTTTGTTTCATTTAAAGCCGAAGTAAATGTTTCCCTTCGTCGCGTCCACTCCATTTTCAGCTCGTATTCCCGGCAGTTACCTTTTCTAGAAGTCGCGCACCAAAGATCCCCATTAACCGTTTTAATTCCTATAAGATCGAGGAAATCTTTGAACGTTATTTATTCCCTCTTTCTAAACGTTTAGCTAAACGCAACGTTTTGGTCTTTCGCCTCGACCCTGGAGAAAACGTAAAAAAAAACCGGGAGAATCGTTTCCCAGGTAGTTTTAGGCCCTTAACGATTGAAGCATCAAACCTCTTTTGACAAATGCTAGCATTTGCACGCTTTCTGTTTTTAGAGTACTTTATGTTGTTGCGCCCGCATGGGTTCCGCACGAAGGTAGGTGCGTGCCTTGTGTTGACGTACGCAGGCGCCCAGGTTCGTGTTTATGCAGCCGTGGCGGCTGCGGCGCTTCCCGAGAAACTGCTCGTTTGCCTTTTCAGCCCGACGTGCCGCCCTTCGTATACCGCCCGCGGCGGAGTCGGTGAAGAGGAAAATGTTTCCGCTATATTTTGAAGTTTGATAAGAGGCGCACCTTTTCTTGTGCTGTTGTTTTTGTTGTTTTCTTTTACGGCAACTTCCGGCCACTTTTCGCGAGATGTCAC